AAGTAGAACATGAGAGGAAAAAAAATCCATGCTTGAGAGAGGTGATCAAAGTTTGCCTAGTCTGTAACAGATGTGCTTCGATTTGCCAGGCATGAACCATCATAAACTCTGTTTTCTTTAAGCTTCTTGGATGTTACATGTACGCTTACAAAAAATTGATCCTATGGCTGCTGAAATAGTCCTGGAATCTGGGTAGGGGCATAATCTTATCATGTAGAGTAGAAAAGTTTACTGGGAAACATCCTGGAAAATTATCACTTTATGAAACTTAAGTAGTTGCAAACTCCCTCTATTGAAATAACATATTAGGATGCACTCATTTTCATTTAGGGTAATTCTTCAATACAATGTAAATATTTGAACTGTATTTTATGTAAAATATGAGTTTGCTTGTTTTATAGAGGTGGGAAAATGATTATATTTCCATAACTAACTAGTGTTCTGAGAGTCCCATGGCATAGCTCTTGCAGAATATTTTCCTGCATTGAATCAAAAGAATTTAAGGTAGATGATGTAACTTTAGTCCTGCTAGGCCGTCCTTCCCCAAAGTATGTTTAATTAAGATTTTTTCCATTCAAGCACCTTTTCATTAACTAACTAGATCTATTATTGATTTGAGTAACTTGTCCTTTACCAAATATAGTTATTTTGCAAGCTCATGATGTGATGTGTGGTGATCGCCGTAACATCCTTGCCACTGGAGAGTGGAGTTCGTTTGTTGTTGATATGATCACATCAAAACTGGCTGAATCTCATTAGATCTGGCAGTTGTGCTATCAGGAAAAGAACATTCTATTCATACTCTGATCTGCTTTAGACATGCCTATTCATGGGGCCAAAAATCTACTTTGATAGCTTGTAGGAATACTATATTGGAAATAGTTTTTGTGTATGATGGGTAGTCATTGATAATTTGGGGACGTGTTCCTGATGGCAACTGGAAGGTTCCACTCTGAGGAGTTCAGGACTCATCCTCTTCCAGTGGTTTCTTCCTGTCTCCCACTTGACCAAGTAGAGCCTTCTCTAGCCAGGGATGAATATGAATGGAGCAGCGGTTTCAAGATTTCCGTTGGCTGAGTTTCAGAGTTTAATAGATGTAGGTGCACTTTAAAAAGAATTAGATAAGGGATCATTCTTTTTCTGGCGATACTAATTTTTTTTTGATCTCTTAAAGTTAGGGCATATATAGGATCACTATAATGTCTGATTTTAACCTGTGCACTGATTAGCTCTGCCAAAATAAAGAACATGTCTTAATCTTTTGTACAGAGAGACACCTAGAAGATTTTTAATGGGTGCTATAATTTTGTTCAAGATATTTATTAGAATCCATTAAGAAAGACATCAGTTCAAGAAAGGAAATCTATAATTCTTTTCATCCAGATGAAAAATAATAACTTGTATTGTCACCCAGAAGGAGATAATATAGTGAAAATAGAAA